GCCCAGGCGGGTCTTGAACCCACGGGCTCAGGCAATCCACTCACTTCAGCCTCCCAAAGCGTGGGATTACAGGCAAAGCCACCGAGCCCGGCTTAATTTCACATTTCTTTCTTGGGCACTTTTTCTGTGCTAAGTATTATATCAGGCTCTAGGGATACATAGATGGGCACAACATAGTCCCTGCCCTCTAAGCTTATAATCTGGGTAAAGATTGGTTAACTGATAAATAACCAGAGTTGATAGTGCTATTACAAAGGCATGTACATGCTAAAACAAAGGCAGGCTGTTTTTTAAAAAAAATAACATTTCATATTGATTTGTTGAAAGTTATCTGCACAGAGGTGGTGGTTAAAGCTCTTAAAAGTATGTGGGTTTACCTATAAAGGGCTTGTAAAGAAAGAGGGTAAAAGCACTGGGAGGGGAGGATTCTTGCCAAGAGTGAGAAATGTACTAGTTAGGATCCAGTCAGGAAATAGAAAGCAAACCAGTTATTTGGATAGAAAAAATTTTTTAAATAATTGTTTATTAGGTAACTGAAGAGGCAAAAAGAGCACAACCAAGTTTTCATGGAGGTAGCAATTACAGAAAGCAGCTCCCACATGGGACTGGGGGAACAAAGGGAAGAGGTTGGAATTGTCAACACGTAGAAGTTTGGAGGAGAGGCCCCTTGTATGAAATCCAGATCTCAGAGGAGGGGATGCTAACCGGATGCTGCTGGTTCTCTGAGTCTAGAGGAGGGATTCCGTAAGGCTGGAACCCAGACCTCTGAGGAGGGCCACTGATTAGATGATGGGTGTCTCTGGGGGAGAAGGGACGAAATGAGGCTGGTTCTGGAAAAACTGCAAACTGGGTTCAGCTACTGTTACAAAGGAACTGCCACTACCAGGATAAAGAAGTGTTAAGGTACTGGATGCAGTGGCATGCACCTGTAATCCTAGCTATTCTGGAGGCTGATGTGAGAAGAGTGCTTGAGCCCAGGAATTTGAGTCCAACCTAGGCAGCACAGCAAGACTCTGTCTTTTTTTTTCTTTTTTTGAGTTGGAGTCTCTGTTACCCAGACTGGAGTGCAGTAGCCGCTCCCGGCCACTGCAGCCTCAAACTGCTGGGCTCCGGCGATCCTTCTGCCTCAGCCTTCCAAGAAGTCGGAACTACAGGTGCATGCTACCATGCCCGGCTGACTTTTGGTTTATTGTAGAGATGAGGTCTCGCCAAGTTGCCCCGGCAGATCTCAAACCCGCGGGCTCAGGCAATCCACTCACCTTAGCCTCCCAAGGCGTGGGATTACAGGCTGAGCCCCCAAGCCCGGCTAAGACTCTGTCTTTAAAAATAAAAGTGTTAAGGTGATACTCATAGGATTAGGAAGCAGACAGGAACCCCATAAGAAACAAAGAAAGGAGCAAATAGGAAACTCATAGGAAACAAAGAGAAAGGAGCAAATCTGTTCTTTTTTTTTTTGAGTTGAAGTCTCACTCTGTCATCCAGACTGGAATGCAGTGGCCACTTCTGGCCACCGCAGCCTCTACTGGTGTGCTCCGGCGATCCTTCCGCCTCAGCCTTCCGAGTAGCTGGAATTACAGGTGTGTGCTACCACGCCCGGCTGATTTTTGATTTATTGTAGAGATGAGGTCTCGCCAAGTTGCCCCGGCGGGTCTCGAACCCGCAGGCTCAGGCAATCCACTCACCTCAGCCTCCCAAAGGCGTGGGGCTACAGGCTGAGCCACTGAGCCCGGCTAAATCTGTTCTTCTTATAGCCTTGCCATCACTTTCTACTGCCTGCTATTAGTAGAGCTTAAAGGGGTTCAAAGTTCCATTAATGGGGTTTGCAGAGTTCCAGCCCTAGTATCTTGAGGCAAAATATAGAAGGATGAGTTTGGAGCTGAAAGACAATAGTGTAATAACCAGTTTGTTTCATCCCTTTGACTACTCTTCTCCCTATGTTTGAACTCTTAGAGAAGAGCAAAAACAACTCTGCTTCTATCTAACAAGATATAACGATCCTTTACACATATAACATACAAATAAGGCCATTTCACTCTATCTCTGATATAAGGAGATGAAAATGTCCATTTGTATTTATTTTTGGAAGACAGTAATACTATCTATCTCTGGAGCATGATAATTAATTTTCAAATTTAGTTACAGTTCCGTCTGAACATTCTGTTACATAAAAAGTAAAATTTTAAGCTAACTTCCATCAAAACTTGTACAAATAATAATAAGGAAAAGAGAAAGAAGAAGAAAAAATAGTTAATACATACAAATACAAAATTGTTAAAATATTCATTTTCATGCTTGGGCATTTATAATTTCCTTTTTTTTTGAGTTGGAGTCTCACTCTGTTACCCAGGCTGGAGGGCAGTGACACGCTCCTGGCCACTGCAGCCTTGACCTGCTGGGCTCCTGCAATTCTTCTGCCTCAGCCTTCCAAGCAGCCAGAACTACAGGCACACACTACCATGCCCGGCTATTGTAGAGATGACGTCTCGCCAAGTTGCCCGGGTGGGTCTCGATTGCAATCTCAGGCAATCCTCTCGCCTTGGCCTCCCAAAGGGCTGAGATTACAAACTGAGCCACTGAGCCCGGCCTATAATTTCCTTTTTTAATAGTACTCATTCTATGTATTGTTTGCCCTCAGCCAAGATCTCAGCTGATCAGGATTTTTACCTTCATTTTTGAAATGTCTGAATCTTCAGTGGGTCTGCCTTTTTTTGGTTGCTGAAGTTTTTCATTAACTTTTACTATTGAGAACAGAAATAGTAAGAGGCATCCCAGAGAATCCCTGATTCCAGACATAGCCCGTCCTCTCCTTATTGTTAGTAGCAACTGCCATGTGTGGTGGGCTAGGCA